ATATAGTCAAATATAAACCGTATTATAGAGGCAGTTTCTGTGTGAGACAGGGGCGTGCATAAAAGGTAGAAATAGGGGGTCCAGGCTGGCCAGGTGGCTGGTCTCAGATGAATTGCAGGTGAAGATGCTGGATGTGGACATCCTGGGCTGGGGTGATTTCATGTGATCTGTGGTTGTGAGGCGGTTGGATGTACTGCTAAATTATCTGAAACACCTTTGTAGATGCCCAACATTTTTTAGTCAGGTCATCTTGACAGTTTCTTTTTTTGTGCTGAAACGTTTCGCCTTCGATCCGGAAGGCTTCATCAGTCAAGGAAACACACAACAAAACTGATTCTTCCTCCAACAGCTTACTCCAAAGTGGAACAAACCAGTTCTGCTTGTGATTAGCTGGTCTCTTTGGTAAGCCCCTCCTCCAAATCACAAGCAGAACTGGTTTGTTCCACTTTGGAGTAAGCTGATGGAGGAAGAATCAGTTTTGTTGTGCATTTCCTTGACTGATGAAGCCTTCCGGATCGAAGGCGAAACGTTTCAGCACAAAAAAAGAAACTGTCCAGATGACCTGACTGAAAAATGTTGGATTTTATACCTGGATTATTGAGCATGGACTTTGTTACCTTTGTAGACAGTTCATGGTAGCGAAATTAATATTCAGAGTCAGAGTTTCTTTATTTGTCATTCGCACCAGCACCACATATTGGTCCATGTGGTGGAACAAAATTTTGTACACAGGGTCCCAGTTATAGCCAACAATAAAATGTAAAAGAAAAACAGTAATACGATCCAAGATATGAACTAAGAAAAACATCAACTAAAAAAACGCTAAGCACTAATAGCATAAAAACAATACACTGAACAGCAGCACGAACATGAGTCTGTGTGAGCAGATGAGTACGAATTAACACAGGAACATGAAACAGATCAGCAGCAACATGATGTGATTTTTCAGTGATTATCCTGGTTAGATATTCATGAGTGTAACAGCCTCAGGGTAGAAGCTGTTCCTCAGTCTAGTTGTTCTACACTTAATGCTCCTCATCCTCGTTCTTAAGGGGAGCGGGGTAAAAAGTGTGTGTGCTGGGTGAGTGGGGTCCTTCATGATGCAGGTGGTCCTCTTCCTGCATCTGGAGGTGTAAATTTGTGATGTGTCCTTCTGTGTGGAGACTCCGAAGTGTGCGTCGAGTAATCCAGGAGGATTTATGTGGAGCGTGTATCGAGGCATGTATTGATGATGCATGTAGTGACGTTTGAGGCATCGCTAGCGGGCCATACCACGTTACCGATTCAGGAACTGATCGTTTGTATGCGCGAGATTTGAAATATAAGGGGCAGACAGAAAAATCCATCATCATAAAGACAGATTAAGATCATTTGCAGATCAAATTTAGTCTTTGAGGTCCTCAAACATTTTTTTCTTTTATTCAATTTAAAGCTTTGCAAACCAGTTATGTTATTATAATCCATCCATCCATTATCTTTTACCCGCTTCTTCCATTTTGGGTCACGGGGGTCGCCGGTGCCCATGTCCGGCAATCACTGTGCAAGGGGTGGGGTACACCCTGGACGGGTCACAGGTCCATCACAGGGACACATAGAGACAAACAACCATTCACTCTCTCACTCACACCTAGGGACAATTTAGAGTTACCAATCAGCCTAACATGCATGTTTTTGGTCTGTGGGAGGAAACCAGAGTACCTGGAGGAAATCCACGCATGCACGGAGAGAACATGCAAACTGCACCCAGAAAGGCCCCCGGACCGGGATTTGAACCAGCGACCTGCTCGCTGAGAGGCGGCAGCTCTACCAGTTGCGCCACTGTGCTGCCTTGTTATTATAATCCATCTACCGGTTTTACATTTATAGTCCACTTGATGGTGCGGTAGAGCAAATGAAGCACCATGGTGCGTTGAATCACGAGTCGAGCTATTCAATGAAAAACCTCAGTGCTTCATGAAGCGTCATCTCACCGTCACTAGTGTAGATGTCTGTGATGGTGGGGAGGCTGACTCCAACAGACTTCTGTGCAGCCTTCACCACTCTCTGCAAAGTTCAAATTCAATTCACAAGCAAGCAGCTCTGGTGGACGTTCCCGCAGCATGCCAATTGCACGCTCCCTCAAAGCTTGCAACAGCTGTGTCATTGTGCTCTGGGATAAAACTGCACATTTTTAGAGTGGCCTTTTATTGTGGTCAGCTTAAGGCACACCTGTGCAATAATCATGCTGTCTAATCAGCATCTTGATATGCCACACCTGTGAGGTGGATGGATGATCTCTGCAAAAGAGAAGTGCTCATGAACACAGATTCACATAAATTTGTGAACAATGTTTGACAGAAAAAGGCCCTTAGTGTTCAAAGAAGAAGTCTTTGATCTTTGAGTTCCAGTCAAGAAAAGTGGGACTAAAACCAGAAGTGTTGCGTTTATATTTTTGTTCCATTCATTACTATCATGATCATACAAATTTAAATGGCTGAATTTTGAGTTTCTCTACAAGTCAATGCCATTCCATAAAAATAATTAAATAAAACACTTTTTTTAAATTAAAAATAACTGGTACCCTTTGATTAAAGAAGAAACGTGCCCAGTTTTCTTATAATTCCTATACTGTATGTGAAATAGTCACAACGTGTTTTTGATTTTTTTGCTTGACTTTCTTGAACGGGTGGCTCAGTTGGTAAGAGTTGCTGCCTCTCATCGAGAAAGTTGCAGGATCAAATCCCGACAGGGGGCCTTTCGAGGTGGAGTTTGCATGTTCTCTATTTGCATATGTGGGTTTTCTCCGGGCGCTCCGGTTTCCTCCCACAGACTAAAAACATGCATGTTAGGCTGACTGGTAACTCTAAATTGTCCCTTAGATGTGAGTGAGAGAGTGAATGGCTGTTTGTCTCGTTTGTCTCTATGTGTCCCTGTGATGGACTGGAGACCTGTCCAGTGTGTCCCCCACCTCTCGCACAGTGATGGCTGGATATGGGCACCAGTGACCCCCACAACCTGAAAAGGAAGAAGTGGGTAAAGATAATGGATAGATGGATTTTTCTGAACCTACATGACTTTTATGTTCTGTTTTCAAGGACCAGAAAAACAGAACATAACAAAAACAAAAAAACAAAACAGATTTGATATATCAACACATCTTTTTTTTTTTTTATCCCTGCAAAAAGTTGAGCAGTGCTTCTATTTCATTTTCTAAAACAACAATCTGAACCTTTTGTGTGAATGAAATAGTGTATATTTTTAGTTACAACACATTAATATTAGTCTGACCCTCTTTAAAAACCATTTCCTGAAAGTTTCTTAGTAATACATACAACTGTAGGAATATTAACTTTTGTGAAGTTGTGTAAATATTTGTTTTTTGAACTACCAGAACTATCTTGCCTTCTGTGAATTTGTTTGATCAAATAACAGTCGTTAGTTGCAGAGACAAATAATTTGTCCTCTTGAGGCCTCGAAAAGCCAAGTTCGTGAGATTAAACATTAATTGTGCATGTAAAATCTCCTAAATAAAAACAAAAGATTTAAGAGAGCGTTCAAAATACTAGAATAAATGTAGGAATCTGTAATAGTGAGCTTACTGTTAATTGTTAGGCCTACCTATTGTGGCATTAATGTCATTAAATATAAAAAATGTAATTTCAGCTTTAATTTAATCTTATTTGGACTTTGACCCAGCCCGTTATTAAAATGAACTAATGATGTATCAAAATGTGCTAATTAACCATTTTTCTCTTATTTCTAACCATTTTCTCCACACCATCACCAAGGACATTGAAAGTATTTAATCCTCCAAGATGTTCTTTATAACTTATTGCTTTCCTCATGCAATTCTTTTTGTTGCATTTTTCCAACAATGCGCTTCTATTACACGTCTCTTTTTAACACACACATTTCATCTGAGGCACATGTAAAACGAGACGCCATGTTATTCACTGGCATTTTAATAAAACAAGAAACAATAGAAAAACAACAAAAAGGTCATGAACATTTGATCAGATTTCCTGAATCCAAAAGAAATGTCAAAGTTTGGAGGAAAAAAAAATCTCAACCCTGATTATGTTACAATAAAAGCCTCAATCAGACCTCAAACACCTCACCTCCTCAGCAACACTTTCCACCAGGTAAATATTACAAAAAATACTTCTATATGCCAAAATATAGCTGTACAGTGCCAACGTGTACTGAAGGATTGCATGAGAGAACATAAAACAAACAGTAAAGTAACAATTAGGAATAAAAAGAAACATCTTTTTAGAGCAGAGAAAGTCCAGAAGTGCTTTAAAATGTCAGTTCCTCGTTTGTTTTATAACTCTGATGTTGACCTGGAGCTGATCGCTAACTTGAGTTTGAGTATTTGTATTTGGAATGTGGTCAGTGGAGATTATTTAAGTTACTCTTAAACTGCGCATACTAACGACACAGACTTGTGATCGTCTCATAGTGGCATCTGCAGCACAATTAAAGCCCCCCATCCCCCCAATCATACGACACACTGTTACATGATAAATAATAAATGCAACTCATCTGCTACTACAAGCTGTTGTGGAAAAAAACAACAGCTGCAATTATATACAAACTAATCTCACTTTTATAGTTTATTACCATTTTCAGAACGCAATGTGAAGCTTTTTAAAGTATCTTCCGGAACAATATCAAAATAAATTAAATTAAAAGTCTATTGCAGGTGCTTTTCAGAACCCTTTCATGGTCTTCCTCATCGTTGCACACATCTGGAAAGTGACTGCAATCTCCTGCTGAGGTATGCTCCACATTCTGCTTGGCACTTCACACACACACATACACATAAATTCGACCTGTTTAGAAGTTCATCGGCCGCACGTATAAAAAGCAGAACTACATGCCTGCAAAGCAGCAAAACGCACATAAAAAAAATGCTGCTTCTGATCACAGACAGGCTTTCCTTTCGGAGGAGGCGTCATCTGATTTCAGACCTGTGTGCACGCACAACGAGAAGACTTAAACAGGCACGGACAACATGACACGAACACCCACGGTGCATCCATGTGACACAAAACAAGCATAAGGCTACACACGTTAGATTACCCGAACAGCCTGTGAGAGGCGGGACATTCAGTGCTTCAGCTTGCTAAGGCTCGCCTCTTATTTCTTCTTTAGTTGGCACATGGCAACATGGACACACATGTTGACAAGAACACACTCATTGAAGTAGTGTCACAGTCAGCTTTGTGTTTCTAGAGTTGCTTTTTTATTTCATTTAAACTCTTGTTAAAAAAAAAGCATAATCTACAAGTTCTTCCTTCAGTTCCAGTCCTCTGGAACTACTTTGGGTGTTTTTTGGGCGTCCCCTGCTTCTTATTCTGCCACAGGTGACTGGCGATGGTGATGGCGTCCACGCTAGCGGACATAGTTTTTGCTGGGATGCGACTGAACTGCTTCCTGTCCGAGTTGTACTTGAACAGGGTCTCGATCATCCTGGTGGTGATGCTTTTGGGGCCGATGCCGGCTAGTTTGGCGATCTCCTCGGTCTCAGGGCAGTAGGTGTAAACGGATCTGAACTGGCATCCAGAATCACGGAACAACACCAGGAAGTTATTGGCCTGGCATTTCTCCATTTCCTGCAAATATTGTGTAGAAAAAACAAATCATTGAGAGTTTACTAAAACTTAAATATAAATTTACTCCTGGTTGGCTCTGTTCACAGTGTAGTTAGGATCCACTGTGTGCTACTTATCTAGTTTTGAGTAAACCGGGTCAGTAAGAAGTGATAAATGCATAGTCCGATAGACTCAGTTTGACTGGGGACCAAATTTCAAAACATTTGTTTACGTTGTCAGCTGGTGTGGTTCACATTCACACTGCACTGTCAGATGAATCAACCTGTTCCCCCCATCGCCTGTGGTGGCGCTGCACCAAGAACTACTGAAGGAAACGTCACAAAAACATCTGAAGAAGACACTTCTTCTGGAAATAAAAACAAAAATGGAGTCGCGTCAAATTATAACTGTTTAAGGATTTCTGCTTTGTCATTTTTCAACAATGGACTCAGCATGAGCAGAAGATGAGGCAGAAGACCATGGAGAATGTTGTTTTTCACTCAAGGCGGCTGACGGCTTTGTATGAGGTAAGAGAAATACATGTTTGTTTGCCCTGCACTGTAGTCCACTTCCTGCTTTTAGAGCGGTCTCCGGTCCGCTTGCATTCACATTGCATTCGAACTGCGCCCGAGTGCACTTCAACTGGACCGAGACCTAGATATTTAGGCGGACCAGAGTTTGCTTTTTTGGTCTGCATCAGAGTTCGATTGCACATTCACACCTCCCCAAAACGAACCGGATTTTCTAGACAAACGAACTAGAGTTTGATTAAAGCGACTAAACAGGGCTGGTGTGAATGCACCCTTGGTCAAAATAGATCCAGAGGTTACTGTGGTACACTCACAAATGTTGATCTGCTCCAAATAAAAGGTGGTTCCAATGTCTTTTATGCAGATAAAGGGTGCATTCACACCAGCCCTGTTTAGTCCGCTTTAATCAAACTCTAGTCCATTTGCCTAGAAAGTCCGGTTCGTTTGGGGAGGTATGAATGCGAAATCGAACTCTGATGCAGACCAAAAAAGCAAACTCTGGTCCGCCTAAATATCTAGGTCTTGGTCCAGTTGAAGTGAACTCTGGTGCGGTTCGAATGCAGTGTGAATGCAAGCGGACCGGAGACCACTCCAAAAGCAGGAAGTGGACTACAGCGCAGGGTAAATAAACACACATTTCTCTTACCTCATACAAAACTGTCAGCCGCTTTGTGTGAAAAAACAACATTCTCCATGGTCTTCTGCCTCATCTTCAGCTCATGCTGAGTCCATTGTTGAAAAATGACAAAACAGAAACCCTAAAACCACTCAAATTTGAAGCCACTCCAGTTTTGTTTTTATTTCCAGAAGAAGAAGAAATATAAGTGTCTTCTTCAGAGGTTTTTGTGTGTTTCCTTCTGTAGTTCTTGGTGCAGCGCCACCACAGGCGAGGGGGGGGACAGGTTGACCTTATACTCAGATGCAGTATAAAATACATACATCAAGTATTTTGTGTTTCTGTCCTTCATTGACTTTGCCAGCCAGGCAGCAGTGGGCCAGGGCATTCTGGATGATGTGCTTGTTGGATTTGGCGCTTGGCTCCTTGTACAGCTTGGGTCCTGAGGGAAGGAAGCATGAGGTCACATTTCTGTCGGCGTGTTTAAGTGAACGGATCAAGCGCTACCTGCTTCTTGATGCCTACCTGTGTACTCAGTGTTGGAGGGAGTGGAGGAGGTGGTGGAATCGTTTTCCCAGTCTTTCTCTTCATTGCGGCTGCCAGCCGAAGGACAGGAGGAGAAACCCTCTGCAGAGTCTGGCCTGATTGACGAACACAAACCAACAAATGACAAACGACCACGCGGGGGCAGACAAACACAAACACACAGTGCACATGAAGACATGCGTAAAAAAAAAAAAACACAGACAGGAGACGAAACAAGGTCAGACACTGACACAGTTCATATAAACTCTGCCTGTTGTCCTGCATCACATCATACTGTAAAAAAAGAAGCTGAGCAGTGAGTCAAGAGATGACCTGCCCAGTCAAGAAAAGCTGAGAGGCCCTGCTGTCTTTATGGACACTGAATGAGATGAACTTAGTGAAGGAAACAGCAGAAACACAAGTGAAACTTAAAGAAAGCAAACAGCCAGAAACCTCTGCAGAACAGATGGAGGCAGCGAACGTCTGATGAGCCTTAATGCAGACAAAAACTGCAATGACAGAATTCTCCTTTTATGTCTAAGCTTTTCAGATGAAGGCTAATAAAAAAATAACAATGAAGCTACAGCATTTCTACATGAAGCCAACATCGAATAAAGCTTATTTTCATTTTGGTACTAACCTTCCCTTTTTGTCTTTGGGAGAAGAGCCTAAAAAGAACGGAATATGAGCAGAAGCTAGTTTGTTGCTTCTGAAAGATGCATGCAGAGTGGAAGAAGAAGGAAACAGATAAAAGGAATAAACTGTAAAAACTTTCATGAATAATAAAGTTACAGGCTAAAACAACCTATCAACCAAAGTTCCACTGCTTGCTTTTCTTCTGTTTCCTGTTATGCTACACAAATCAAAGGTACACAGGTGTGTCTACAAAATTAGAATATCGTGAAAAAGTTCAATTATTTTGTCATCATTCCAGAAAGTGAAACTCATATTACATTATTACATTACATGACACAGAGAGTGAAATATTAAAGTCATAAGCCCAGTCTTAAAACTGGAGAATGTGTCAGCCTCATGGACAGAAACTGGAAGTTGGTTCCACAAGAGAGGAGCCTGATAACCGAAAGATCTTCCTCCCATTCTGCTTTTGGAAACTCTAGGAACCGCAAGTAAGCCTGCAGTTTGAGAGCGAAGTGCTCTGTTAGGAAAATATGGAACAATAAGATCTGTAATACAAGATACTACTGTACTAATATTCCTACTTCGCTGTTTTCACTTATTGCAGGGCTTCATGGTACAGACTCCCTGCAATAAACAACTACTGTATTTTAATTTTCTGAGACACTGAGTTTTAGTTTGTCATTATTTGTAAGGTGTCATCGTCAACATTACAAGAAACAAAGGCTTGACATATTTCACTCTACGTGTAATGAATCCATGTAATATCTGAGTTTCACTTTCTGAAATGATTCACAAAAAAATTGAACTTTTTCACGATATTCAAATTTTTTGAGAAGCACGGGTATAAAGTTTCAAATCCAGGAAGAAGCAGTGTGAGCGTCTTACCTGTTGTTCTTCTTGTTATCTGGCTGGTCTCTGTCATTGTTGGGCAGATTGAGTGAAGCCAAAGAGACACTAGACACAGAGAAGCCTCGAGGACGCACCCCTGCAGGACGACAGCACCCAGGATGAGCACAGATAAATAAGGGACACACTGTGACTGTTTTTTTTTTTTGTTTGTTTTTTTACCCGTCATTCTTGCAAGAGGAGTAGACTCCACAACATCCCTGTGGATGGACTTGGGCCGAGGCTTTTTCTTCAGGCTTCCAGTTCTTGGCTTGATGACTTCATCCATTTCCTCCATCAGTTTGAGCTGCTTCCTCCTCATGTATTCGTTCTTGATGTATTCCCTCCTCGCTTTTTCTTCCTCCTTCTTCTGCAGCTCCTCCTCTGCTTTCAGCCTGCAGAAAAACAAGGCAGTACGGACTGAGCACTCACGTTCAAATGACACGCAACTCACTTCGTGTCGATGCTGCGGCTGATGTAGCGAGACGCACCTTGCAGCTTCCCTCTTCTGCTCCTGGTCCAACTCCTGCTGTTGCCTCCTCTCTTGAGCCTCCTTCTCCCTCCGCAGCCTCTTCTCCAGCAGAGCTGCTTTCTTGGCAGCCATGTCCTCTTCTCCATTCACATCATCCTGATGGTGGATTGGACAAAATCAGATTACATTTTCTTTACATCTTTAAAGATGAAACAGGAAGGATGCAGATGTTTTGACATTTCTTCCCACAAAAAAACCCAAAGGATGAAGTCGAAACGGCTACTATAATGACAGCAGGAACCTCTGATGAGGCAATAAATCATATTTTGTAGAGCATCTTATAATGAAAAACAATACTGTTCGAGATTTTTATTAGAAAAAAAAGAGCCGTGGCACAGTCTGTGTGCAGGTAAGGTTTCTGTAGTTCCAACTAACCTTAAAGAAGAATCCACAGCACATCTTCTGGTCCTCTCCTCCTTTTTCTCCGTCTCCCGTGATCTCCTCCTGATTTTGGTCACCTGAAAGTTTCAGCCGAGACAGAGACACCTCCACCAGGTCCCGCCTGTCCTGAGGGTCTCCCTGAGTCCTGCTGCTCGTGCCCCCGTTGATCTCAGACACCGGCTGACACAACACCTCAGATGTCCCTTTAAAGTCTGTTCTCTCCTCATGTTGCGTCTCCTCCTTCTCTTTGGCTGCTCCTTCATCACTCTTCTTCACCGCCACCTCTTCCGTCTTCTTTTTGTTGTCCTTGGAGCCCTGGTCGTTTGTTTCTCCAGCCCCCTCGCTGTGACCCAGGTAGGCAAAAGAGCAGTGCTGGGTTTGACTGGAGCTGAAGCGCCTCAGTCTGGGCAGGCTGTCCACCGAGGTGGGGGTGTTGAGCATTCGGCTGATGGGTGTGACCTTCAGGTCGTTTGGACGTGGAGTCCGAGGCGTTCTGGCATGAAAGGATGCTGGTCGGCGCTTGATGCCAGCAGGGGAATGGTTGGGGGCGCGGGGGGACCCAGAAGAGGACAAGACTGGCGACAAGGAGCCTACCGACCCTCTGCCTGATCCTCGGCCCGTTACGCTGCTGCTGCGTAACTCCCGGAGCTGCCTGTGCCCAAAAACATCAGCAGAAACACGAGTAAGTTTTCACAGAATAATAAAAACACAACTATACATAATAATAATATTTAAATCCTGGTATTTGTTGAAGGAATACATATCACCCACCGAGTTTTGAACAGGTCTGATCTCATGATATATCGTGAGTTCTTGTGAGATGTGATGGTGTTCAGAATATTTGTTGTGAATGACTCTCAGCTACTACCACATCAAACTGTAGCTCAATATCTGTAAAACTGAGTTATAACTAGTGATGGTAGTATGAAACAAAAGCTTCAAAACATGCTTCGAACCCTGCATTAAAATTACATTGAACCACTGCTTCGGAGCTTGTTTCGGTGCGGAAAAAGTCACGTGACGTCCGAAACACAAACTGTTGTGGGAACACTTGTGGGAACACTTCATTCTGCTCATGATAAGGTGGTTTTGGTATTTAAATGTCAAAAAAGTTATAGTAATGTTCAGCAGTGAAGATATTCTAGCTGTTTTTTGTTACTTTTCTTTGTTTAGCCATCCTATTTGTTTTTTTAATTAAAAAAATCTGTATGCCTTTTTATAACTGTCTATTGTTGTCGCTGTTGTCCATTGTTGTCATCTGTCTTTGTTGAAATCAGGTCTCTCTTGTAAATGAGTCCTCGAGGCTCAATGGGATTTACCTGTCTAAATAAAGGTTGAAAAAAAAAAATCTAACCCTTTTAACCCATGTATTTAATATAATTACAGTAAAATGATGTACGTGATTTTAATAATCATATATCAGTATGGGATCAAATTATTAATTTTTTTATTTACATTAGTGTATTTGTGCAGGTGCAGTGTTTGGTGTTCAACTGAACAGCATCATGATACCTCCTATATGGTTAGACACTTCAGCGCCAAACATGGAGATGCTGGAGACGTCATTTCATTGATATTTTAAGAAAGATAAAGACTCTGACTCTGTCACAGTTACACAAGCACAATACCATTGCAACATTTTTATTAAATCTATTCAATGCACAATTATCAATCTTTATTCAAAAACATGTAAGCATGAATACATTTTCAAACCAGACAACATAGAAAGTTGATGAATTTAAAAAATCTGTTTTGACCACAGTAAAGTAGTTTCTTTAACATGAACAAAAACATTTTAAATATTCGCCATTGATGGGCGGTTGACAATAATCTCTAGGAGAAGAAATGAGGAGTTACCTGTGTGGGGATGGAGCAGGAGGAGGAATGACCCAGGCTTGTTGATGTTGCTCTCTCATGGTCATGATCTTCTCCTGCTGCTGGGCCAAACGCTGCATCTCAGTCTGCAGGAAGGACAGCGACGTGTTCATCCTTTCGATGGAGCGCGTGTACTCTGCCAGGTCGATTTCTGCTGGGGCCGCACCTGACGAGCGCCGAAGAAAATCTGGTCAAACACTAATTACACAATCGTTCAAGACTCCACAGAAGCCGTTGTGTTAAGGTTACCCACCACCGCCATCTTCGCAGGAGGATTTGGGAGCAGCTCCGTCAGGCTTGCACCGCTCCATGCTGCGCTGGCTGTTTTCCTTCGAGGAGGACGGAGGCTCGGGTGAAGGCGTTTCCGCTCCTCCTGAGCTGGGGCTGAGCGGAGCGGTCACACCTTTCCTTTTCACAACGTTAAGAAAAGCTGTTCTGCCCATTTTCTGGCGATGCCTCGTGAAAGCTGCTTCCACCTGACGGTTGTGAAGAGATCAGCCCAATATAATTTCCATGTGAAACTATTTGACAGTATTTCTCCGGTGCTGTGAGTCCGTCTACCTTCTTCTTCTGAGCTTCGATGGCTCGGCGTTTCTCTTCAAGCTTCATCCGCAGCTGAATCATCTCGGAGGCTATGAAGTGGGAGGGGTCTCTGGGTGACGAAGTGATTGGAGAGGGTGAAGTGATTGGCAGCGGGGGTGTAGAGAACTACAAAAAAAAACAAGTGTGATGATCAGTGGAATTAATTTAGAGTCAACATATGGTTATTTATGCCACATTCAGAAATATTTGTGAGGAGAAGTAATAAAAACGTCACAAACATGAGGGGAAGCAGTTTTGGTTGAACGTGCGTGCTGAACATTCAGGTCAGTACTGTCAGGTGTGGTTCCACCACTGCTCCTTCCCTCTAACTTCCTGAATTTCTGCTCTGCGAAGCTGGTCATCCGCACCAGACCACCGCCGGACCCGCCTGACGACGAGGCGGGACTTGCTGTGTAAGATCTGGGGAGTGTGGGAGCTGAACTGGGGCAGGGGCTGCCTCGGTCACCGTCCCTCTGTTCACGCTCAGGATTGGAGTTTCCACCCTCTTTGTGTCCTCCTTCCCTGCTTCTGTCCTTCTCCATCCTGCCCGGCAGCGGACAGGACCGAGTCGTGGCGTCACAGTCTGGGTCTATGTCTGAATAGTCTTTCAGAGACGAGGAGTCATCGTCCAAACTCTGGATATCCTCAGTTCGCACGTGGATGCCTGTATCGACTTCATCGGTGGATGCAGAGTTGGGGTCGCGGTCATTGATCCGCGCCTTAGATAAACCGGGGTCGTCTTCAGGAGCTTGGGCCCCTGCAGGGTCCAATGGCTCTGCGCCATGGAGAAAGAAGCCACCATCTCCATCTCCAATGCCCAGGCTGGCATGGGGCCTCTCTGTGTTGTGGATAATCTTGAGGGCCTCCTCGATGCTCGGAGGAGTCGATGGGCTGATGTGACCCGTGGGGTTACCGTGGTATTTCCTGGGGCTGCTGCTGTCTGGTAAAACTCCATTGGAATACCTAAAATCAGCCAGGAAAATTCAAATTTCAGTACAGTGACGTCTACCTCGAAGCAATTATTACTATTGTTCCTTTCATTACGTTGGTTCCAGATCATCTAGGATCACATAATCTATTTAAGGTCTTTTATATCTAAAAAAAAAAAAACCTCAATACGGTTGAATAATTACGTTTACCTCAGAGGAGTTCCTTTTCAAAGTAGAAAAATGTGTTACTGAAAGAAAGTGGATTTCTGTTTAACACATCCTAATTTTTTTATCTTTCTGACATTTCTAGTTTTACTATGAACCAAACTGGATCATCTACAGGGAAAAGACTTCTGTCCCAGGAACAGAACCTGGGTCTATGTGAAAAAAGCTATAGATGATGACAAATCACACAATCTGAGCAAAAATAATAAGCCTATTAAACAGGATTTAGACGATTTAAGAACATTTCCTTTAACCACTACACAATGCTCTAATCAGATTAAAATGCCATGATTCAAAGTACCAAAAGTTGCATGAAGACCGAAAAGAGTAAACTTTACCGAATCCTACAAATCTTTAATTGTTCTTCTTTCTGCTTTTCACTCTTCAGGGGTCACCACATTGAGTCACCCTCTTCCATCTCACTCTGTCCTCACTCCAACTACCTCCATGTCCTCTCTAACTTCATCCATACATCTCCTCTTTGTCTTTTTCCTGGCAGCTGCATTTCTAACATCCTTCTACCAATATACCCACTGTCCCTCCTCTGGACATGTACAAATCAAGTCCAAATCCAAAGTCCAAATCAAGTCAAGTCACTTTAATTAATCAACTATAAAAACCTTAAAAGCCTTAATTATGTGCAATGATGAGCACTTTAACACCAGACTGTAAAGTGTCACTGATACTAGAGCAGTCATTTCTAACCCGAACCCGGCCCGGCCTTAATCTGGGTCTGGCCATAATAATGTGCGGGCCAGGCCGGTGTCGAGCTTTTAATTGCGTCAGCAGACGTGCGCGGCTGATGATCCAATTATATGGCAACATGGCTTGCCATAAAATCACCAACCGCACGCTGACCGGCCTTGAAAGAGATAAAATGTTCAGTTAAGCTTCAGAGGGACTACTGCCAGTGATCCATCAGCCCAAATGGACCTTCATTCAGCCGCTGCACTCAGCGGACGCACGTGGCCGACGACCCAAACAGGTGAGATCCCAAAATATTCGACATGTCAGAGCAGGGTAAGTGTCTGAATAATGCAGAATGCAGGCAGAAGCAGGGATTTAATGCACTTTGACAGCCATGAAAGGACAAACACCCCCTCAGCTCTGATCTTCTGTCCCCTTAGCCACGTGCATCCGCCAACCGTTAATAACTATATAAGCAGTCAAAGCTTAATTAAAAATGTCTGCTTTTTCCCGGTTCGGCCCTGTAATTTCAGTGAATTTGTTGGGTCGGGTGGGGTTCGGACATGATGGCTACGGGCTGGGGCCGGGTCAGATCGGATTTTTTGGGCCCGAATGCAACTCTGATACCATTTGCATCCAGAAAAGTTAAGTTTCTTCAAAATCAAATTCTCCAACTCTTTTAGACAATAAGGAGGAACAGCAGCTATCTGTTCCCACAAACATTCCTGAGTCAAGATGACAAAAGTCAACAAAAGTCTTACTTTATTCTTCGTTGTCTCCACTAAGTTTCAGGCCCTTTTAAGACTTAGGAAACATTAACTGAAAAAAAAAAATCAAAGTATTACTTAAAAAAAATTATTTAATTTAAGCTGATCAACCATAAATGTTATGGCTACTTATATTTTTCTGCTGAGAAAGCATGCATCCTGGCATTTACATGGATGTTACTTGGATACCTGACACCCAGCCAGACTTTTTTTTTTTTAAAGAACTGTCACTCCACTATAGTGACAGAGCATACTTGATGGGATCTGTGGGAAACATGACCAAAACAGGTTACAACTGTTCTTTCTTAGCATAAGATGATCGTAGCCTAAAACTTTGGCATGAAAAGTGACGAGCGATATGCAATCCTTCAAGGAACGCTAGGCCTTCAACTAATACTGCGCCATAAAGTTACATTTGTTTGGAGTAAGTTCATCCTGAACTGCAAATGATAAGAGGTAGCACACAAAATATCTGCTGCAAGGCGTCTTTAAACTGTAGCTTCTTGTAAAAGGTGACCCGCAGTCCTCATCTGTACCTGCTTTGGTTCTTGACGGAGAACGTATGGTTCCGCCCTACAGGTTTGTGAGAGGTGAAGTCCTCCTCCTCCTCCAGTATTTGTCTGCTCTGGCCGTTGACGTCGACAGGCGGGAGGGACTGTTGCCGCTTCATGCCCCCGCGAGATGCATAATGGACTTTGAAGCCCAGACCGTCACTGCTGGCCGAGCGGGTCATACCGCGGGGGGATGGAGCCTCGAAGGGCAGGTCTACGTCTAAAGGAATCTCAAAGGAAATTCCCCTGGAAGAAGAACTAAAGGAAGAAGATTTGTTTAGTTGTGAAGCAACAGGCTAATGGATAAATATAGATAATTAAAGGGTGGATTCTAAAGGTCAGACAGGTTTCATGTACTGACTGTTTCTCTTTGGGCCACGTCCTGACACAGTCATCAACAAAGGACATGGAGGTAGATCTCTTCATTACACCTGTCAGACAAACAGAAGATTACTGAATATATGAACTCTTTCATTAAAACACAGCAAATGCATGTTGGGGCTTGATGGAAAACGAAGGATTACTTCATTTACAAGAATAACTGTGTTTAATATCATTTTTATGGTCTATCCTCGCAAGTTCTTGCATTTAAAACATCAATCCCAGAAGTTTTAAGCTAATTATTTCAGCTTTGTGATTACATTTCTTCAGAAGCAACAAACCAATCCCAGAAGTTTTAAGCTAATTATTTCAGCTTTGTGATTACATTTCTTCAGAAGCAACAAACCAAGTTTCAGTGTAGTACCATAAATCGACCACCAAGTGGTGTCCAGATTCTTCACAAAGAAAATCCACATTTTTACCAAGTGCTCTGCTCAAATACTGTAGGTGCTTTAGTGACTCCTTTTTCCTGGCCAGGGGGAGAGCCTGGCACACCCTAAAGTTAGAAAACATGTCTGTCTTGCATTCTGTTGTGTCATTTTTACTAATCTGGTCATCTACCTTGATTTCTGTTTGCAAGAAAAAGGCCTTCATCAACCTTTATTTATACAGATTAGTCTCATTGAGTCACGAGGACTCATTTTCAAGATAGAGGCCTTAAAGGGACAGGAGCTAAAGGAAGTACTTCAAATGTACAGTTGAGCTAAATTTTGCAGTAATATACAATACCGGCATCAACAATATTTTTAAAGGATGTAAACCTAGCAGACCCCATTGAAACTATAAACGAGTAAATAAGTCATAGTTTTGCATTTTAGTCAGAATGGCACACAGTGATTGATCATACCTTTAGCAGCAAAGTTTTCTGGACTGGCAGGTCTGTCTGCATAGCTGTGCTTGACCGGACTGGACACAGGAGCCATATCTGTGCAGGACGATACAGGCTCACACACTGGAGGAGACAACAGGACAGAACGCTCAAAACTCCTTACTGGAAACGACAACTAGCATTTGAAACACAGTAAATGAAATGTAACAACAGCATGCGGGTTGTACTGTACCACTTGGGTTGAAGACTCTGGGTTGAACAAATGAAGGCTTGACCACTTCGAACCACCAGAAAAGTTCAGCCATAAACACCAGGTAGTTACTCTGCACACATTTATGCTCAAGTTACACGTTTGTCTGTTTGCAGCCTGTACAGACGCCACAATACATCTTATAGCAGATCAACGAGGGCTTGGCCACCAAGCGTTGCTAGGCAACTGGCTTGGATGGGTGTGTCCGTGTTCTTGAATGCATGCATGCGTTTTAGCGTCTGACTAATTTCACGTCAAACTAAAGCAGCACATTAGAAAAAAGCTGGAGTTTAGCTTAAATATGGAAGATGCCAACAGACGGCTGAAAAAATGTGTTTGTGCAATGACGTTAAATTTATTTCTACTCCTCTAAACTTGTAGCAGCGCGAGATGGAAAACAACACATGTCTTAATGGAAAGACTTCTGCACACAAACACTGGTTAGGATCCTTTAAACACTGAGTGTCTGGTGAACGGGCAGAGTCTTGCCAAAGTCTTTAAATGCACCCCCAACAACTCCCTGTTTTGCCATTAAACCAGCAAAACGAACTCACTGTGTAAAACCTGCAGAGATTGGAGGAAATAAGACAAAACGAGGAATCCAGAGCAAAGGTTGGGTCGATGCTGTGTTTTGTACCAAAAAGAGGAAAGTCCCAGTCAGCTCGGACTGTGACATGAATGCAGAATGTTTCTGCCCACGCGCTCTGCATACGATTTGCCCAGCGCTGCCTTTAATCTCAGAGTGACACAGAGATTATCTGAGTGTTCCTATATGCCTTTTGTTATTCAGAAGCAAATGTTGGGCAACTGTGATTTCTAAAACTTGTTTTTATTTTAGGAACAGGAGAGAAATTGAAGGAGAAGTGTAGGGCGACAGGCAGAGACGGGTCAGCTCTGTGAATCTGTCCTCTGTCTGAGCAGAGAGTGGGAGAGCCAAGCACGATTATTAAACTTTTCCTGGCGTGACTCACTTGTGCCTTTGTGTAAATCCCCCACTCTAACCCCCCCCCCACCAAACAAAACTACTTATTTTGTCTTTGTATTTAAATGTAAGGGCGTCCCTACCTTTACTGAAGCGTGCGCATAGAGCATGTCCTCCAGGCTGAAGTGGCAGCAGCGATTGAGGTTGTTTCTGCAGAACTCCTGCACCAGCTGCAGGTTGTACAGACTGTCAGCCAGAGACATGGTCTCCTTCAGGCAAATGTCTGCTCAGCCAGGGGAGGGGGCGGACACACACGAGGGAGGGGACAGGAAGACAAGAAAAGATAAGACTCAGTTTAATTTAGAAAATAGAGGAAAATAACCGTGCTCTCCAACTTGCAGCAGCAAATCTGATCCCGCTAAAGCTCCTTGAGACCATTCCTGACTGCAGTTTACCAAACTCCTTCCAGATGAGTCACCAGACGTGTGCAGGATGTTCAACATGACGGAACAGAGCAGACGCTGCCGGCAGAGCTTGTCAGCAACTAGTTTCTCTGGTGTGATGTCATCTTGAACTTTTCTTTTCTTTTTCGTTACTTTTTAGGGTTAGCTGCAGGCGAGGAAGCTTAACGACACCCAGCCTGCTCTCACATATGGTTCATGCATGTGAGCTCCGTGTGAGGCGAAAGCAATCTGAGGAGTCTCAGGAAATCAACTAAGCAGTTGTTTGTCTTTGAAAGAGCTGTTAGCCAGCTATTCTTCTAACGGCTGTCGCAACTCGTGACCTATCACATCTCAGCCCGGAGCGTCTTTCACAATCCAGGCAAACGGCTCTTTATTTTTCCCCGTCTCTCGCTCTCATATCCGCCCTGAGTCCTGTCTGGAACGCAGAGAATGCACATCGCTCGCTGCCTTTCACAGTAAGAGTTTAGACAAACGTTCAAAATAACTTTAAGCACAACTTCATGCAATAACGGGAGATGTGTTGAGGATGACTCTCAGTTACTACAACATAAATCTGTAGCTCACTAGTTTTTTAAACTGCCTGAGTTTAAAGTCTGTTCACTGGCTCTGGGGATATTTTGCTAACAGACAAAAAGGGTTTACTTACACAGCTATTGCTCAGATTTTAAGCAAAGATCTTGGGCAATGAGTAGCACTTGGATAATGTGTTGTAATTGACTTTTAGCTACAACCACATCCCATTTTATCTAAACTTGACTAAATAATAGCCCTCCTTGTGTTTTCTAATGTCAGCTGGCTGTGATGGCCATCTTAGATTGGGTTTGCTCCAAAATTTAATCAGTTGTAGATGTACAACTAATTATTATTTCCTGAAAGTTTCATTAAAGTCCATCCACTGGTTAGTGAAATAAACTGATTTCAAGTAGTTGATGGAATCTATTATCTATTAGGACTCAGAATAAATGTTGAAGATCCGCCTTAGTTACTACCTGACCAAAGTTTAGTTCAATATCTAAACAATTTACTGAGTTGTAGCATTCTTTGTGTTTTATAAGTTCAACTGGCTGTGGCAGCCATATTAGTTTGGGTTAATCACATGGAGGGCTACAATTAGCCCTGTCACAATAACACATTTTGCTGGGCGATTAATTGTCTCAGAAATTATTGTGATAACGATAATATTGTTTGAAATTTGACAATACTTAGTAATTATTGTAAAATTTAAGAAGAAATGTTGGTTCATTTTATTTTGTGTAGTACCTTTTTTGACCACTATAAGAGTGTTTGAACTGAAGGATGGATAGTGAGGGAGTGTGCAGCGTGTCTCTTTAAGAAAAATGGGAGGGAGGCCCCTTGATGTGACATGGACTGTCTCTTTCCTTTATTTCTGGTTCTCAAAATGGCGGAGGCTCGTGTGGTTTAGCATAGCATTTGTCACCCAAAGCTTTTAATAAAAAAATCAGTAAACAAGTTCTCAGCTTCTTTTTGCAGAGAAAAACAACTTTTTACACAAAGGCACTGGTTTCAACCATGAATTTTGGAGCTTCGACAAAAAGGAGTTTTTTTTCCCAGGTCAGCCTGTTAGCTTAGCTCATAGCTTAGCTGCTTTTAACGATCCAAAAACGCGATTTTGGATCGTTAAAACGGATTTTAAAGAGAAAGGGAGGGGTCAGTGAAGAGCACCGGAGTTGAGCCTTTTGTCATCCAGTGTCTTCAGTAGAAAGAGAGACACGAAGAAATGATAAAGCTGATAAATGAAAATGAGGTCGATCATTTTCATTTATCATGCGATTAATTCATATAATAATAATAATAATAATTAATTAATTCATTTATTGTTTATCACGCCAGGCCTAGCTACAATCAGTGATTATTTAGTCAAGTTTCCATAAAATCTGTCCAGCGGTTCATGAGATATTTTGGTTACAGACGGACAAACACTTTCACTTGAAGTGGTCGCTGTGGCAAAAAAGAGAAAAGCTCAAAAACAAGAAAACCATAAATATCTTGAACACACTTTTCAAATGTATTATGGCAGTTAGCCAAACAGCCCATTGTGCTTTATAAATGAGACCATTAGACATCCTTCTTCCCTAAATGTATTTTCTGAATTATCTTTTTTTTGGTAACTTTTATAAAGATGATATCAATAACAGAGAGAGCAGACGGATGGTCACAGTTCAGTCCCACCTTCCAGTCTGATGGCCTGCGGGCAGTAGAAGTGCAGCAGGGCAGTGAGGGCGCAGCCGTCTGCGTTATCCTTCAGAAGGTTCTCCACCAGGGGGAGCGACGGAACGTTCCTCTGAGCATGCTCTCTCCTGTACCGGGCCTGAAACCATGGCAACGGCACAAAGACATCACATTCATGTGTCATCAGGGTGGACATGTACAGTTCACAGAAGACTGGTGGGAACACCAGAACGTTTGTAGGAAGTCTTTCCCCTGCATGCACACCTTAACACAAGTCCACGTGTTAGTCTGAGGGATTTCAGGCATATAGCTGGAACAGTACATGCAGACAGTTAGTCACTGGCACACACTCAACGACAACACCCCCCCCCCCCCCCACCAAAAAAAAAAAAAATCATCCTTAATTTAAATAAATTGCATTAAAATAGGAACAGTTTCACTTTTTGTGACTGGTTGTGAAAAAGTAGTTTAAGGTCAAAAGGGCAACTGCAACCCTGATTCTAAAATGTTGTGTAAAATGTAACTAAAAACAGAAAGGAATGATTTGCAACTCCCAGAAACTCTTTTTTTCTTTTGCAACGAAAGATTTTAAGAATCTGGAGAAATCACTGAGGTCAAAGGGCAAGCCTGAAAGTCTATACTGGACGCTCGTTATGTTCAGGCCCTGAGGCAGTGCTGCGTTTAAAAACAGGTCTGATTGTGATCTGGACAAAAAATACAAGAAAGTAGCCATAGGTGAATGCCATTCAGAAATACCATCTTCTCTGGGTTAAAGCTCATGTAACTGACTGAGGCAAAGCGGAAAACTGTTCCGTGATCAGACGAATCAGAATTTCAAAATCTTTTTGGCAAAAGCGAACACCTTGTCCTCCGTACTATGAAAGAAAGGAACCACCTGGCCTGTTGTAAGCACACAGCTAAATAAGCTTGCTTCGCTGATTGTATGGGGATACATTTGTGCTTATGATATGGACAGATTAAACATCTGGAAAGGCACCATCAATGCAGAAAAATATATGCAGGCTTAAGAACGACAAATGCTCCCATCCAGATGAGGTCTTTTCCAGGAGAGGCCATATTTCAGCAAAACAATAAACTTCATACTGCATCCATTACAACAGCACGGTCCATATTAGAAAAGTCTGGGTACTTAAATGGCTTTTCTGCAGTCTGGACTTATCACCAATTAAACATATTTGATGCATCACTGAACAAATAATTCAGTGAAGACCCAGGGCTGTTGAACAGCTACAACAGGCTTGAATAGAACATCATCAGATCTCCAGCAGCTGCTCTCCTCAGGTTTACAGACTGTTGTTAAAAGACGAGATGCTTCACAGTGGCCTTGTAACAAATTCATTGTGATGCGTTGCTGCCATCAAATTCAAAATTACCTTTTTTGTTTTGGTCCCCCCAAAATGGTATAATATCTTAGTTAAAACATTTGATGCTTACTATGTTCCACTGTGAATAAAACATGGGTTTATAAAATTTGAAAAGCGTTGCATTGTGTTTGTATTTACATTTTACACAACATCTATCATTTTATATTTTCTCCACAGACACAAAAGCCTGTGCTGCGGTTCTGCAGCACGTGACTTGTAGATGAATAATAATCTGTGCAAATGTGCTCTGCCTATACCTGTACCAGTAAAAACAAAACCAACAAAAAGACAAGGACAATACTATAATGCTATTACATATCCCTTTGGTGCACAAGGTCTCCCAGCTTGCCCATAAACACAGGTTTTATGATGTCTGCATTTTGCAACAGATACTTCATCCACAGCAGCGATTCTGTCTGACATCCAGCTCAAACTGTGCACCGAACTGTAAAAACCAGCGTGCTATCCTTTGCTCCACTCCGACCCCACTGCATAACTCCTGAGCTTTTTTCACAGCAAACAGTTTCAACAGGATTTATACACACAGTGAAGACAATAAGATCAAATTAAAGTAGAAAATGGGTTTCTTTTAATTAGGGATGCACAATATTATCGGCTGATATTAGTGATAAAGTTAAATATCGGACATTCCATCAAAATAACTCACCAATATAAAAGGCTTCTGTTTTATGTTAATTTTTAATTTAAAAAACTATCAGGTATTAATGCACTACTACTTATGAGCTTTTCACTTGGCTCTTGTGAACAGGTTGAGTTTAGATTTGTGAAAATTTACAAATTTGCACTGTTCGAGTGTTGTCATTGTGTTAAAGCGAGTACATTTCATGAACAAATTTGACATTAAACATAATCCAAGTTGAAGTGTTGCATCATTTCCAGTCCCTTTTTGGCATCTGTATTTGGTAGCAGACCAAACTGACAAATACCATGCAGAATAATATAGTATTTAAATTCAACAGCAGAGAAAGTTATGTAGTCTCTGTAAGTAGGTCTAGGGGGAAAAATATATCGGTATTGATATTGGTTATCAGCCAAATAAATTTTAGCATATTGGATATCGGCCAAAAATCCAATATCATGCATCCCTACTATTAATACATTATGTTGTTTTTTAGGTTATCATCCAGCTGTACTGTCTGATAGTAGCTCTTAAAGGTAAATATTTTTTCTTGAAAGTTTTTTTATAGCAAACTGTTGCGTTTACGTGAAGACAAGGAACAGTTTTGGAAGGGTATGTGGGAGGGTGGAGAACATGTGACCAAACAATAATGGGGTTCAGGGCCACATGCAATGATAAACAAGATAACAGAATCAGAAGGAGAGTGGGTTTGTTGAAATGTTTTATCAGAATGGATCAACTTACAGGTACTAATCTCCAGTACCATTTGCTAGGAGACTGGATGGTGGATCATGATTGGATAAGAGGAGAGAGTGGGATACATATTAGACCAATAGCAGGAAAAAAGGGCCACCACTGCAAGACCTGAGAGACAAACTCCTTAAAACTTAGAAAAACTTTTAAGGCAGATCATCTTGCAGCTGTGTGTGTCACCTTGCCAATTTCAAGTATAAATTAGATGAAAGAGAACAAAAACAACAGATACATATCAGATAGAAGTGAAATACGTTTTTATACTTGTCAAACAAATATGTAATAATCTACATTTATTAATCTTGAGAAAATTACTCTGATTATAAGTAAAATCTGAAAAATGTACCCCTTGTAAAAGAATTATAAGAAAGACTGATTGCCAAATAGGCTATGCTTGCAAAAATACTCTCTTTCTCAGTAATAATTTGTCAACATTAAGAAAGAGCAAGTAAAAATATGTATGTTATGATATGCTGTAGGCACTCGATGAATGATTTCTGGTGAAAAGTAACAAATGTACAGTGAAGTGAACAAGGGGAATGTACATGGGGTTGCATATCGTCACTAAAACATTATAACAGTAAATCTCTGCTACAAACATACAGTACATGAACAAACTCTTACCACACACTGAAGACGAAACCACTAAAACACAATAAGTTTAGGCTTCGTCTGTTGTTTCCTATTCAGAAATAAGTTTAGGAGTTTCTTTGAAAATGATGGTGTGCCTTTTTTTCGAGAATCTAATAAAAAATGAAATCACTGGACAATTACTTTGTATATTATTGCATACAGTATGCATTAATGAGGACAAATTACTGGAGTTTGCCTCAAACCTAAACGGACTATTACGTTTCTGTAAAAAGCAATAATAGGTCCGCAAAGAATCACAAAAACCTTAGAATAGTTTTAGCTTTGTAAGATAAAGAGTAAACAGCTAATACAGCGGATCATGGTTGTACTAGAAAGAAATATCAATATACTAATTTATAGTATTACTTGTTTTTTTAAATAAAGAATAGAAAGCTTGCTAAAGCACTAATTAGCTTTACAAAAGCAAATACAAGTGCTATGTGTTGTCATCAGTGTATGCTCCCATATAATGATGAAATTAGTTCTCTGCATTTAACCCATCACATGTAAGATACACCCAGGTGGAGCAGTGGGCAGCTATGTAAGCACCCGGTGGGCAATTAGTGATTATCTTGCTCAAAGACACCATGACATGTGGCCATGGCGGGGAGTTGAACCTGCGACTTTCTGGTCCCAAGTTGGCTGCCGTATCTCTACAGCATCTCAACTAACTAGCTTTAGAAATGCTAAAGCCAACAAGCTTTAGGAACACAAAATGTACAAAAGTGATTAAAAATGTTCTGTTTGGGAAAATTCAACTTAACATCAGTTTATGAGGAAATGTATTTGATAAATTTATACCACGCTTGTAAAATATGCGATCAACTCAAAGTCAAATGTAGAAATTGATATTTTAGCCACAAACACATTTTAGCCTGCGGATTAATCTGATTTAAACAACTTTTTTCTGGCTTTCCACTCTGTCGTCATGTGGAGTGAGCTGCAGCACGATGAGAAACAATCTCACTCTGCACAGACAAAAATGAATGAATGCTCCGTCATATGACCAAAGTTAAAAAGTCTTTTGTCCCAGAATAGACACGACCAACTGAGAAGCGTCTTGTGCTAATCCATCAGTGTGTGTATGTTGCAGAGAACTACGAGCATTTCTGCGCTCCGTGTGTCCTGATCAGTAAATAGCTCCGTTGAGGCTGAAAGTGCGCAGAAAGAGCCATGTGATGAAGCAGGAAAACAGCTGACTGACACTAAGCAGCCATTTTTAAACTTGTTATATGCAAACTGTTAAATCTGTAACATCAGGCTCGCTGTGAGTTTCAAGACTGTCATGACACACACCCCTTGTGCACTGTAAGCCTTCATATGGTTAACATGAGAGTAATATCTAAACAGACGTGCACTCCTCACTAAATGACGGCAGAGGTTTGTTATGAAAGCATGTAATATAAAGGCAACTATAAAACACTCAATAAACTGTCTTTGAATCTGTGCTAATTATATTCTATATGTTTATTTTCTTTTATCGCACCATTCCAATAAAAAAGTTACAGTTTGTAAAACTGAGGCCTCGTATTTAAAAATATCCATGTGATCTCATTAAATTTTTATTTTAGGGTCATTGTAACCTTCGATTTCTTGACATCTTTGAGGAATCTGATAAAGACCTGTGCTGAAGCGTTACGGTTCAGTGAGCGGCAGAGGACGGAGGCTGACTGGAGCATGTTTGTGCCAGCAGACTGGTCTGTTGTCTCACAGAGATCTACTTATTACATAACTACGAGGCCTGCAGGAGGCTCTCCTCTGCTACAGCTGCCATGTCTCCCTTTCTCTTCTCATCTCAGATAACCCCTCCTCACGTCTCTTCTCTGTCTGCTACTCTGATCTGTGCCGGTCTTTGTCTCCTCCTCTAGCCAGTTTTTTTTCCTGCAGCTGGTGACTGGTCTCATCTGTTCCTGTGATCTACAGAGCTCAGTTTACTGGGCTGTGTTTGTGTCTGAATGCGGACACAGATGTGGCCTTGATTAAAAGTTTAAAATGGTTTATTAAACAGAACAAGTCTGCTCCTGTATCCTAAACATGTTGTGGCTGACGGCAGTGTTTGTATTGGGTTGTGCGTTCTTACTTTATGCGTTGAGGTGGTTGACTCCTGGAGGGAAGTCTCTCGTAACTTCTGCTCTTCGATGAGAATGTCCCTCAGGTGTTCGTTTATCTGAAGAGGAAAAACACACAGAGAATACGGAAGCATGAGACACAAAGACGGAGGCAGCAAGGTGAAATTTCACACGAACATCTGGGGCAAACTGAGACTCAAGGGGTTCGTTTAGAGCAGAGAAACAAAAAAAATACATCCTCGTTTTAATGTATTAACAAATGAAAACTCATTATATTAACTCAGTTTTAATCTCAAACAAGAAGAAATACAATTACACCATTTGTTCTATCAAAGCCTTTATGTTTGTAAGATTTTTGACAAATTTTGTACTAAGGTTGCACAAAGTCATTTAACCCATTCAAAGCTCTGGTCTGCTAGTATATTTGGAGGCTGCACATCGAATCAAACCTTAAGATTCATCGTGCTTGTACCTGTAAATAGCTCCTTGTATGTCTCAAGTCTGAACAAGAGTACTGCGTTTACGCCATTATCAATGTATCATACCGCAATCTACCGGTATAACAATGGTCTGGACAAGCAAAGAGCTTGCATGAACTTTGACCTTGATTTGTGACCTTAAAGCTGGGATGATTAAAATATTATTTGGCATGCTGTCTAGTGGAGGTACACATGTATACTAAGTTTAGTTAAATTATCTTGAGCAGATCAGAAGTGATAATCAGATCAAGCAAAGACCTTGTTTTAACATTGACCTTGATTTGCGACCTTGACTTTGGAGCTGGAGTGATGAAAATTGTGTCACTATGTCTAGTGATGATGCATATGTGTATCAAGTTTCATCAAATCATTTTGAGCAGATCAGGTTATGGCCTAGACAAGAGAAAGTTTAGGGACGGGCAGAGCCTTTACTGTAATACGTCCAATTTTTTTACACCCAGATAATAAAAACATGCACGCTTCCTAGTTCACTGCATATTTATCACTTAAAGGTGAAAAGCAGACAAGTGTTTTGCTCGTGTCTCTGTGAGTGTTTCTATCTGTTCCCAAAATAGCTGAACATACTCACTAAAACTTTGAGCCTGAAATGCGATGGGTAATATGCATTCCTTCATTGAGCGATAAGCCTTTTATTCTTGCTTAGACAGACCAGAGAAGTTTGAGCTGAACCTCTTATCGCTTGGTAATCTCTCTGACTGAACGTGGCCTGTGCCTGTTTTCTTGCTAATAAACTGAGGTGGCACGTCTTTCGCACCTCGCGTGTCTATTGAAACCTGACAACAGAGACCAGTGTGTGAAATAAAAAGTCTCTATAAAAGATTAAGAACGTATCCTGTTTGGGGCAGCAGCACGCACTTTTCCACAGAAATGTGTCCCTGCACGTACCTTGTTGATCCAGGTGGTGATTGCATCCTCGGAGTCGTATGGCAGCCCCTGGACGAGGCCGTCGCTGTGGACAGGATCGGCAGGGGAGTACCTGTGGATGCAGGACATCACCCGCTCCACGCTCACCATCTCCACCGTGTACGCCATCATCAGGGTGTCGATGAGCGCCAGATGGGAGCTCTGCACACACATGCAAAAACAAGCAGCCCTTTGTAAGATAAATGTAGGCACAGGTGCACAATATATCGTATAGTTCTCTATTTCAAAGCGACAATTAAAGCAGAAATCCTCTCAATCATTCATGGAGTGGTTTAATCAGCCAACACTTGCACAAAGCTTGACATTCTCCCGGCCTTTCTCAACCCATTCCAGGCCGGTCAGACCAACAGAACTCCCCTTCCTTTTCCTGTCGCACACTGCAGGTCTACACAAAAACATTTAAGCTACACATGTATGTGCATAAGGGTGGCTTATCTGAGCATTTAGCGTGTTTAAGCGTCACAGCAAACCAGACAAACATTTAAAGTCCAGTGCTTCATGACCCCAGTGACTCAACCTGACCTTAAGTGTCTCAACGTCCAAACACAGGTTCCTGTTCATACCGTGCCCAAACAGAAGGTGTGACCAGGTTTTTCCCCACTTAAGAAACAAACTAAAAGTTCAACTGCTTCGACTCTGAAGTGCTGGAATCATCTCAGGCTCGGCCGATTTAAATCAACAGAAAGTGTGCAGATGTTAACGGACAGCTGGAAGCTAAAACTTGAGCTTGAATGAACTCTTTACTGTCAGTAACCTCATCTGTAGGCTCAAATGAGCTAACATTTAGTTATATATATATATATATATATATAT